CCGTGACACCTGAGTAATTCCTTCATATCCTCGCCGGCTTTATATAAATATACTAAGATTGATAAAAAAAAAGAAAATGGAATTTTTACTTATGAAACATATATTCACACACTCTCACACACTCACACTCACACACACACACACACACACACACACACACACACACACACACACACACACACACACGTGACATTGCAAAGGGAGTGAACCCGAAGATTGAGATTATCGCTGCTGAGCCCGCAAATGCTGACGACTGCTACCGCAGCATGGCCTCAGACACACACGTGCGCCTCGACAAGTACCCAGGTGATGGTGGTGGTGGTGTTGATGGTGGTGGTGGTGGTGATGATGGTGTTGATGGTGGTGTTGATGGTGGTGGTGGTGATGATGATGGTGGTGGCGATGATGATGGTGATGATGGTGGTGGTGATGGTGGTGGTGGTGAGTGGTTGTTGCAAGCGTGCGTGCACACCCACTCATGTGCATGTGTGTGGTGTATGTGGTGTATGTGTGTATGTGCATGTTTGCATGTGTTCAATGTGCAGACACGATAGCTGACGGGCTTCGGACGAGCATGGGGACGAGCAACTGGTTAATCATGACGCGCCTATCTGCGCGAGAGCACCAGGAACAGAGGACGACATCGTTATGAGTGTAGCGCGTGTGTGTGTGTGTGTGTGTGTGTGTGTGTGTGTGTGTGTGTGTGTGTGTGTGTGTGTGTGTGTGTGTGTGTGTGTGTGTGTGTGTTTGTTTGTTTGCGTGTGTGTTTGTTTGTTTGTTTGTTTGTTCGTATGCGCTTGTGATGCGGTACATGTATTCTTCGCGTGTTGTCTGTGTAACATGCACTCACGCATCCTTGCACGTATCCTCTTCGCACACACATACACACATCCCCCCACACACAGCCCAGCGGCTGGTGTGGGAGCGGATGAAGCTCGTGATTGAGCCGTCGGCCGGCGTATCTGTGAGTCGCAAGTAATGGTGGTGTTGTTGTCGTGGCGGTGTGCTTGAGTGAATGCAAGACGTGTCAGTGTGGTATGCTCACACACCTACACAATGCACACGCAATGCAATGCTCACACACCTTCACAATGCACACGCAATGCTCACACACACACACACACACACTCACACACCCACTATGCACACACACAATGCACACCGTGCAGGTTGCTGTTGCGTTGAGCGATGACTTCAAGGCGTATGCCGGGGATCGCCTGAAGAAGGTTGCAGTGGTGCTGTGCGGCGGCAACCAAGACCTCGACAAGATCCCATGGGTCGTCAACCCAGCCTGGTCAACCACCACCACCACCACCACCTCTTGATACGTTGGCGGACAGCCGCGATGACAGCAAGGGGCCAGTGGTGTGGCAGCCACCACCGCCATAACACCACCGCGATTTGATGGCCACGACCACCACCACAAATACCGCCACAAACACCAGTCCATTCGGACATCCTTATCACGACAGACCAACGCCCACTGGCGCTGTCACCCTGCCCGCCTTGTTGTTCGTCCCATCCTTTATCATACACGCATCACAGCACATCACACACACACACACACACACACACACACACACACACACACACACACACACATA